AGTAAATAAACTTAGGGAAAATCATTTTAATTTTAACTAAGTTAACATTTTTATTTAAACATGTTATTTAACATAAGTTTATTACGATTACCTCAGAAATTTTTTAATTTATGAAAAATAAAAATAAAATAATTTCAAGTACTCTATGCTAAATGAAATGAATAGTTGTTTTATTTGTGTAAGATACGCTTATTACCCTTTTTACTTCCTTGTACAAGTTAAAGGAAGTATTATAATCACGGAAAATTCCTGGTATCATATTTCAACGAAAATGTCCATTTTGACTGCTATCGAATGCAATTTAACAATGCTTTTACATGACATCTGTACGTAAGGACAGAATAAAGGGCACTTTTTTCCCAAACTAATTAAACTGATTTAAATTGGATTCAGAACAGATTTTTTTTTTCGTGGCGTATGTACCATACGTACGTATTGTAATGTATTTTGCAATTTTTATCGAAATAACAGATGAAATTCTTTGACATAATATTTTATTCTTCTTTTACAAATATAGATAATATAAATTCAATCCTATCGGTTACAGCTTCACACTCCAGCTTTCTATTACAGTTTCTTTCTCTATAAAATTTTCATACATATACTAGCTGGTAAAACTTTCAGAATAACAATTTTAAACAATTTTTGACGTTGCTGTGTAACGGTTACGTAATACAAATATGGCGTCGCCACCCCAATATCAAAAGTTAATAAGTATAATTATTTGTTAAATAACAAAATATTACAGTATGTATGTATGTATCTCACATAATGTAAACACGAGTAGCCTCAGAACGTTGAAATTTTGTCTATAGCACTGCTATAGAATGTAGTTGTACACCTCAGTTTTTGGCTGCAATCGTCAGCACCAAAAGTATATATATATATATATAATTATTTCTAAAAGTATTGATTAATTGATCTTATCTCCTAAGTTTAATTAAAGTGAAATTTAAAAAGTGTGCATCCATACTGTAAGTTATATTTTAAAGAGAATTCCAAGTCCCAACCCACTACCATAAATTACTTCACCCAAGTCTTACCGACTGATATTATTCAAAGCCCCCACTGCCGCTAAGAATTTTCGGACACCCTAACACTTATGAGTCAGACACGAAGAGAACACTTTGCCAACTCCCCCACTAGAAAGAATGTAAGTTACTTAATACCTTTTCTGGCCTTTTATATCTTCATGTACATTCACTGTTCTTATTTATATTATTTTATTTTATATTTTATTTATATTTATATTGTCTTTGATTTGTTTTTACAAACTTTGCATTATTTATCTTTTTTATAATCTTCTATGTTTATTTCAACTTTACTTTGAATTCGATTTCATAATACAATTTCCAATGTTTAATTTCTTACAAATAATATAATATAACTCAAATGCATAAACATGAAAGGTGTCGGGGACGGTTACTCGAGTTTTATCGGATTTCTCTACAGTAATTTGATTTTTTACTCCAAATTGAATTGACTAAAATTGCTTCATAAGAATAAGTTCTTTGAGTATAAGCATTGGATCATAATCCCTTCTATTCGCGGAAATATTTGGCCTGACTAGAATTGCCGGTTTGGCTTTAACTCGAGTAAAGACGAAACACTTTCGTATTTACGTATTTTTATCAATTATTGTTTCATTGAACGGGAGTTGGTTTGTTCCCCTTGAAAAGTCAATTAATTTCCGATCAATGACAATGATTACATGTTTTAATTTTCCTTTTACAATTGAAATATTTTATTCATGATGATTTAACTCCAGTCCCCGTTAAAACATTATTAACATTTTGCTTTCAAATTACTTCAAAACATCTTTCAAAATATAACTTACCAGTATGGATGCACTCTTTTAAAATAATTCTACTTTAATTAAACTTAGGAGATAATATTAATCAATTAATCAATACTTGTTTAGGAAATAAATTATATTAACTAACTTTGCAGTTGCGCAAGTAATAATAATATTCGCACTAAATGGATTTAAGATCATACAACATATATATAATATATTATATATATATATATATATATATATACCAATCTCCTACTCAGTGAGCTCAGTTTTTTTTATTCTTACGTGTTGGTAAATTCTGTATTTTTTCTTTAAAAATGATTGAATTATGTTGTTCTTATCTTCCGGTTAAGGTTTTTATTCCTTTAATTAATCTACCTGCAGTAGTTGTAGAATTATCAGCAATTTAAAAGTTGTTTAAGTGCGCTTAGGCCTAATTTTTCTTACCGTAGCAGCCATATTTGTTTACATTTGAAACTTAGCAGATTAGTGAATAAGTTTCTGCACCTTCAGTGTCTTTTTGCAGAGTGGGACTAAAGGTAAACTTTTAGTTTTGTGCACAGAAAAATCTGCCTTCTTGCCGGCTGGCCGATTTGCTTGTATTTGCATAGAAAGTCTCATTTTAAAATGTTTTAACTCTATTTGGTGTTTTATATTTTTCTATATCTTTCAATTGTTAATGAAGATATTTTGAGTTTTTATATAATTTTGTTTTGCCGCAAAGTGAGAACTGAACTAAATGAGAAATATATCTCTAATGAAATTCAAGGAAATAAGTTTAAGAAATGTGGGAGTGAAATGCAGCAAAAATGCATATATATTAATATTCCGTACAAGGAAATCATGTGGTGTACAATCAGATTTCTTACCTAAGGAATACCCCTAACCGATAATAAAAGTTTGCTTTTGCACAGTGATATTTTTCATCTTGTAATAGAGAAATAACGCTTTTGGGTGAGTTAAAAAAAAATAAAGTATTTTCAAAAATTAAGCAAAATGATATTGAAGTGATTTCTATATAAATTTCTGATGTCGTAAACTTTTAGAGCCGTTAATAATAGAAAAAATCTGATGTGTACACCACATGACTTCCTTGTACGGAATATTAAATTATACTCTTTTTTTCTTACATTTCATTTACACTTATTTAATTGAATTAAATCTACTTCGACAACAGCGCATAAACTACAATAGAATAAATACATTCTTAAAAATTCACTCTATTTGTTTACCATAGCTACACTCTGGCGCTATATTCACTTAACCGTATTATATTCGTTCTAATATAATCAGAATGCACAAAATTTAATCATTTAAAGAACTATCTAATCGTTGCCACATGTTCTATTCAATACTCAATAAACTAGAATGTTGTAAACGAAATTAAGCAAACAAAACAAATAAGAACAGTTCTCAAGACGATTGAGTATTTCATTCAATAATTCATCTCACTTCCGCGACAAGGCAAAAATACATAAAAAGTCAAAATATTTTCATTAGAAATTCGAATATATAAAAAAAAAAAACATCAAACAGCAAATACTGTTAAAAAAAATTAAATTAAAATTACAGTATATATGTATTAAGAATTACGACGTAAATCTTAAACACTTATTTCCTGGAAAAAATTCCAGAAAGGATTAAGCATGATTTAATTCTCAAGGCGTTTTCTTTGTTGTTGCGAAGCTACGTTTCTCTAGATTGGGAACAAATCCACTAGTCTGCTGTTTCAAATGTAAAAAGCAACGACCGCCATCAAAAAAATTATTAGGCTTAGCGGGGAACTTAAACAGCTTTAAAATTGTTGATAATTCTCTAACTATTGCATACAGATTTACTAAGCATAAACCCTTAACCGAAGATAAAGCAACCTAATCAATCATTTTAAAGCAAAAAATGTACAAACCATAAAAGTAAACTGAGATCACTGAGCCCTAACAGAGTGGATATATTTATAAATATATTATATACGTTTGGCGCGGCCGATGAAACCCCAAAATACGAGGTGCACATTAATGTATAGCAGTCTAATATACAAAATTTCAACGTTCTGAGGCTACTCGTTTGAGGCGTACGTACGTACGCACGCAGCACGAAATTCTGAGAATTTTTAAATTTTAAAAAAAGAAGTTTTTTTTTTTTTTTTTTTTTAATTTTTTTGGAGGAAAAGAGTCTTTTATTCTGTCCTTACGTACAGATATCAAGCAGAAACATCGTTAAATTGCATTCGAAACGGTCAAAGTGGATATTTTCGTTGAAATATGCTGCCTGAAGCTTTTCGCGATTACAATACTTCCTTTTTACTTCGTACAAGGAAGTAAAAAACATCCGTGTAAATATGTCACTATTGAAAATATTTACGATCACACAGATAATGTCAATGAGGAATTCAAAATAGAGTTGCGCGGGTACGTGTACGTAATAGATTGAATGCACACAGGTCCGATGATGTGATAGGTTGATTAAAGTTCTTTTACCCCCCCCAAAAAAAAACTTTAGTGTTCTGGAACTTTCCACAAAAATACTCGTACAGGTGTTCACAGTATCCAGAGTGCAATCAGTAGTCACACTTCAAAAACTACCAAGAACGTTAAACACAAAGCAATGCAAAGTGCATCTAAAGAGGAAGCTAACCCGGAGATATCTCTGTTTTTGAAAGTCACGTTGAACTAAAAACTCAAATCAACAACTCAGGAATTCATGCCCGGTTTTATATAGTTTTTGCCCAGCCGATGAGATATTTCTAGTACTTTAAGCTTCTCAAAATGACTGAAAGACATATGACATATGACATATGAGGAATACAGTTGCACTCAGAGCATCAATCACAGTTATTTAATTACAATATCCATTACAATTACACAGGCACCGAACTTTTGGCAATTTCTGGCAAAATTTGGCGACGAAAATTAGTCGCCAAAATCGTTGGTGATATCTCGCCAATTCAGCGAGATAGCCATTTACTCAATATTAAATAGACTTGCGTGTGTATTCTTATTTGCCGGCAAGCTTTGCTTCTATAAATTTTCATGTTATATTGTACAGAAAAATAGAATTTCACATATAATCACACTAAAATCATCTATCTGTGTACAAAATTCGTAACAATAGCAACATAAAATCAATTTATTTTCATTGTTAATTTAAATTTTAATGTACTTGCCAATTCTAACATTCTTTTGTTTCTTTTGTGTACTTTTAGGTCGAATTATGAATAAATCCTCTGTTACTTTTCATTTATTGTTCATTACTTTGCTCGGGATTTTGCAGAAATGCTACGAAACAGTGTATTCTGCAATACATTTCTTATTAGCTATAGTCTACTGGGGAAGAGGGAAACAGGTTCCGCCGATTGAAAATGAGCTCCTCTTGAAATCTGCCACAAAACTAGCTCAAGAAATAAGAGAAGGGAAGGTAAGTTCACAAAAGTGTTCAATTCTTCTAAATGAAATGTATCAACGAAACTGAAATGAAAGCTGCCCTTAAAAAAACTGCTGTCCGTAATTTCATAATGGACATATTATCACACAGAACTGCTATCGAAAATAGTACGAAGTATTAAAACTGTGCTTTTTATATTAGCATTGGATGACACTTTTGTAGAGTTGTTATTAAGTAATCAGTTATTTATAATTTCAGCTTTATCTATCACTTCCCCTTTCCGTTTCATCGCCAGAATGCAAATCAGTGTAGAAAGTATTTCATGGTTCGGGATTCTAAGTCAGAGCGTGTTTCAACCTGTCGAAAACCACGTTATTCATTTTATCATCTATGATAAGATTATAATTAGTCGGCTTTGCATTATTGCTGCCGACATTTAATTTGTTATGCCGGTTAGAAATTCTGAGCCAACTTCGCGTTAAATCAATTGTGTAGTCTTTTGAATATTAGGCTTAGTTTTAAATTTGAATTTGACTTGTACTTTAGATTACAAATGGTGGTTGTATTTGTAAGCATTATAAAATTTATAGAAGTCTTCAAAAATAATGTGCTTTCAAGCATTAAGCTCTAGTCTGAAATAAATTACCAAGAAATTCTAAATTAAAATGCCTAATAAAGTGAACAGCGTTTGAATTTGCTAATTGAACGAGAGCTCTGCAGACTAGATAAAAGGCAATTATTCCCAACGAAAAGTCAAAGGTTGTATTTCAGATCCGTGGAGATCATTATGTTATTTTAGGTTTCTTTTAACTCTGCCAAAAATTTATTTGTTAGTGTGTTTATAAGAGCAGAAAAAAGCCATATGTAATATAAAAATAAGAAAAAAAAATATTTTTTTAATTTTTAGCCTAAATGGCGTTAGCCCAGAAGGGCTATTAATTTTAAAATGGCATTTTGCGTCGATTCACTTTTCAAACTGTTGCCACCAAACGTTATCGCCATGTATTATATTTAAAAAAACTAAGTAATAAAGAATCTGCATGAATTTCTCGCATTGTGAAGAAACAACGGTACCTAGAGCTACCAAATTTTGAATAAAGTAGTCCTCCAACTGAACATGGGCACTTGGAAGCCCGAATTTTGAATTTCGAATTTCTTTAACTATCCATTTAAAATTCTGTAAAACTTTAACGAATTTTTGATTAAGAAACTCAACGATTTCAAGGCGAGTAATGGCAACACTGTACGCAAAAATAATTTTTATCTCCAGCACGCGAGACTGCGGATTGGAAATTCTAAAGATACATTGTTTTGCTGTTCCTAAATATTTTGTGATATTGCTGTTGAATTTAAATTTATGTGTCTTAAGTGCAAAGAAAGTGATATTTAATCAATGAAGGTAACAAACAAAACATTAAAAAAGGTCCTTTTGGGTGTAATATAAAATCTGAAAGCCTTCAGGTATTCTTTAATATTTATTTTTCCTCTAATGTATCAAGATTTATGTACAAATTTAATTTTGATTACCAGGATCATATTTATTACAAAAACTTTCAAAATAAGATTTTTCTTCTACAACAATTTAAACAACCTATTTCCAGTATAAATTATTTTCGCATTTTTATTGTAATTTCGAAAGGAAAACGTACAATTCTTCAGCATTTTGAAACATCTTTGGATATGTAACCCTGAAATGAATCGCGTATATAACCTTTATTCAAAATGAAGAATATTCATAGAATGATAATGTCATAGAATAAACCTTGATGACATTCTTTTAACGCAAATTCTGATTTAGCAAATCGCGGCATAACCACAGCCTTCCACATGAATTTAAATAATACATTAGCTTCTCGGAATATTCAGCGAAGCATCTTTCCTTATTATTGAGACGTGCAGGCGGGCCTTGCAAACGGAAACTTTTAAGAACTTTTGCAATTGTGTGGAGTTCGGTGAAATTGCGGGCAGTTCGGGAATTCAAGGTCATGCGTTTTTCAAGGTCGTGCGTTCAATGCTGCGTTTAAAGATATACATAATCTTTAATTGGCATTGAATGAAACCCAAAAGACTTTAACATCAAATGCTCCTTTTTCACTTTTAAATTTATGTAGGGAAATTCATCATTCATCATTTGACATAAATCAGATCTTCAGCGTTAAGTCAAATGATGAGCGTAAATTCATTGTGATTCAACTCACTCCGCCAAATGAGCTGATGTACCGTCTGGAAGACTCAGCTTTTACTGCTCATTTAGTGGGAAATTTTATCGAAAACATCTTCTATGAGTTGAATATTTTGATGCAGAGTATGATATAGATGTTACGGAGTTACAGAAAATGTTACATGTTACAGTATTTTCTGCAAAAATTCATGGTGACTTTCTTTCTTTCTTTCCACCAACATCGTGGCAGCCGATCCACTGGGGCAGTTAGCATATCGGCCAGGTAGCCTCGCTCACGGATTTAACTTGGTTCACGTAACATACTTCGGTGCGTATTGTGCCATGGATTCCTGTAGGATTCCTGTAGGTGGCCATGATTTTTCTCAAGACGAGTGCTGGGGAGATGCAAACAAATGCTGGGCGAGTCAGTGGTGCAGTGATGGAAGAAGTGTGCATGTGGGTGAGGAAAACAATTTCACTTTCACATTTAACAGAGTTATACATAAATGATTACAACTTAAGTGCTGTCAATAGGCATCCATAACTTAAACAATAAATGGATAGTTAAAATACACGTATAACTGAGCTAAAATCAGCTGAATAGTGCATTAGTTATGAATACTATGAGCAATAACAGTGTGACTGAAAAAAAATTTAAAATAGTATATAAAATAAAAAGTGATAACACATTGGATAAAAAATCAAAAAGAATACATTAAATGAAGCTAAATACATAATTCAAGGCTCACAATTCAAGGGAATAAGTAGAAACAGAAAAAGCTAACTTAAAATAAAATGAATTAACGACAAGTACAGAATATACGGGGGCTGTGCTGGTGACGAGGATGGCAGCTGAATATTACTCCAGCCTGTCTGAGGTGTTACGTGCGACATTAACGCAATCGCGTTTGCGTTTAAAAGAATAGCAAATTTTCGAAGTAGCTTCGGCTCATGCATGATATGGTCCGCTAATGGCTGTCTAAGATGATGCTCTCCATTCTGTCTGCAAACGAACACATAGTGGTCCAGATGACCTGCCATCCCGCACGAGCACTGGTCATTTTCACGTCGTCTGAAGCGATGCAGGTAAGGCATGAAGGCACCATGCCCTGTTAGGAACTGCGTAAAGTGAGGCGAGCCACTTTTTAGAAGACTTTGGGGAAAAATCTGTAGACTCATCTGCCAGTAGTCTCTGTCTCCCGCAGATGTTGCCAACGCTTCAATAATTATCTCTCGAGCTCGGCTTTTACGAACGATCCCGGGAGAGATACATCAAGATTACGTGATTATCACACATTATGTGATTAAATTGCTATATTATTTTCACAGAAATTTCAGCAGTTGCTAATTTTAAAAAAGAGTGTAGGTTCTTACTTTGAAACTCCAAGGCACAAGTGATCACTAATACCTCAAATATTTCACAGTCCATGAATATTCCATTTCGCTAGATTAACAAAAATACATCTGAAAGAAATGGGCGATGATATACAGAGATATAAATTAAAACTCTAGTTTTATTTTTGAAGGAAAACTTTAATTTCAATTGTAGAGTTATTAGGGTTTTTTTTTTTTTTTTTTAAAGCCAAAGGGGCCTTGTCCCTGAAGGACTGTTGTTTCCGTTTTGCCATGTCCGTTTCACTTTTCAAACTGTTACCACAAATGTTAGAGCCCTGCATTATATTTGAATAGATTAAATAATGAAAAATCTGCATAAATATATGTACATTTTTTGCATTCTGATAAAACAACGGTACATAAAGCGATCGAATTTTGAATGACGTAATCTTACTGCGAATATTGGCATTAGGAAGCCCAAATTTGAAATTTGGAATTTGTTTCAGTTTTGATTTCATATTTTGTAAAACTTGAACGAATTTTTTGATTAACAAACTCAAGGATTTCAAAGATAGCCATGGCAACGTTTTTTATGTCCAGCGCGCGAGACTCTATCTGAAATTCCAAAGATAGGCTCAATTTAAAACTATTTCGCGATATTGCTCTTGAACTGAATTTTATGGTTAAAGTGCAAAGAACATGATATTTAATAATTAAAGGTAACACACAAAATTTTAAAAAAACGGCCCTTTGGTCTTAATTTAAAATCTAAAACCTTTCATATTTTTTTAAACCAAGAGAAGTGAAGAATATGCAATGCATTCGCAGGGATTCGAACTCCGGACCTTCGGAATACGCTTCGAGTATGCTTCCAGTTACACCACGAACGCATCCGGACGTACAAACAAAACAAACACATACATGCAAAACGGTGTACATATTTTAAAAAAAACTTGTGCATCATATTTATCAGACTACGACACGAGAATCGCCAGTTTTTATTGCAAATATGGACAGAATCCGTACAGAGAAGCTGTTCTGTCACTTAAGTGACAAAGTAATTTATTTATTGGACATCAGATGAGCGTCCATGAGAAGTAAAGAAATTTTTGTTAAATATTATGAGCATTTTGTACCTCTTTTAACTAATCTTTATGAGTACTTTAAGAAATAAAAGCACTTTTTAAACTTCATTGATTAGTTTTATGAGTAATGAAAAAAGCATTTTTAGTCTTATATAACAGCCTTATGCACTATTGTGTAACTGAGTGAGGAATAAGAGTGAATGACATACTGCAGACGTTCGATTTCACCTTGAAATCCGGGCGGGGAAAAAAGAAAATATACATAAATGAAGTGATCGAATCAATTGCTTCTTAACCGCAATTACACCAGATCTTGTTTTCGAACTTACTTCTTTATTAGGATTTCTCAAGGAGAGTAAGCAAGTTATTCCGCTTGGAAGAGAATGTTTAACAGATGAGGTTACTTACCAAGGTCTTTTTATTGCGTAAGACTGTTTTCAGCCATGTATTCT